CAGGTTTCTGATTAGAGACTGGAACCTATTATTTCCATTTTATTTCCAAACTATTCTCGTTCAGGGGGTAAGTTTCTAAAGAAACTGTAGTGCAGCGTCGGTGGGGGTAACAAGGTAATTTGGTTATATCAACTAAGTTGAAATTATAAATTGTCCACCATAAAAAGTTAAAGTAACGCTCGCACTGACGAAGGGCTAACGCTCGAAACGTCAGCTTTTTAACTCTTTACGATGGCCAATTTACAATTTCAACTCAGTTGATATTTAACAATTATTCGCCGAAGGCGAGGTGAATATCGTCGAATAATTGTTTTAGTATAATTTCAGAGCTGAACAACATAGAAATTTCTAAAATCATAACATTTTAGTAACATTTATCAACATTTTATTTTAACATTTTATATAAACCGCGTGGAGCGGTTTATATAGCGTCATATAAGAAACCAAATATTCTCGTTTAGGTTCAGTTCTCGTTCAGTTCCAGTCCCTACTCGGACACCTGATATTTAGTCCCAACCCATGAGCAATGCAAGTCGGTGAGAGGTTTGCGAGGGGTGTAGCACTAATGCATGGCCTCGTACTCTCCGGCGGGCGAAGAAACGCTCCTACAGTAGTGCTAACAACGATGGCCTGCTCGCTGTGACAGCCACAACTTCTGTCATCAGTAAAAACGCCATGGCGTTTATTCAAGAGCGACGTTCACTTTAAAAATTACAGTAAATCATTTGTAAACTTTAGGTAAAACAGAGACATATTTAAGTCCCTGTCTCTCACCACGTTGTTGGAGACATAAACTTTGTCGGGGAGCTTGTAGTGTTCCTTCGGAAGTAGTTCGTCCGCTTTGGCTCCCATCTGCCACCCAGCTTCCAACTGTGCTTCCTAGAAGCTGAACGCATGCAGCAGCGGCTAACTCTCGGGTAACAGCTTCGACTGGCCGGCTAACGTAAGTGAGGGTAGCTGGCAGGTTTGATACCCATCAGTGACTAGGGGCTTACCACCCTTTTACCATGAGTGTAAAAACACTAGATAAACGCTTCGAGAAAGGGGAAGGGGAGAGAAAGAGAGGGAGAGAGAGATATAGTTGCTTCCCTTATTGTACCATGATTAACTTCGATCACAGCTGGATAAAAGATGCACATGGTTTTAAGGCAAAGTATATCTTTATTTCCATACAAGCAATTCGATTTGTCAATGTTCAATCTATTAAATAAACTCGATTAGGAAAAAGAACTCCGAAAATAGATTTATAGTCCAAGAGTACTCTCTGTATATTTACAAATAAGCGTTTTCGTAAATAAATTCTTTTTCTTTTTTTCTGTTTCAGGCGCAGCCAACCTTGTCCTCATTTCACTGCTGCGGTATCATTTAAGTAGTGAGTCAAACTATGTCTTCTTGTGACCCATCTAACATGTCGGCTAGGATAAGAGTAGATTAAAAAAAAAGTGTATTAAATGTGGAACAGGCATTCAAGGAATTCATGATCAAACGGCTAACATCCATACGACAGGAGTATGAGTAATACGTTCCCCGCTTCAAGGTATCTCCAAGTTATGGCTTCTCGCTTTATTCAGGGTCCTTCTATGTGTCTTAAATTGAGATGTGCTCTGGAAACTTTTGTGGTTGCCGTTCAAAATTGGTGTGGAGGCAGTGTGGCCGAGTGGTTAGAGAGTCGGACTCCTAATCCGCCGCTCGCGGGTTCGAGTCCCACCCTGACCACTGGATCTGTTTCACGGTAGCCCCGAGTTCAGATCCTTGGCCACGCTTGTAAATAGCCAACTGGTTTGCCTCCAGCCGGTTGGGGTTCTTAATGATGTTATGTTCAATTTAGACCATTTGTTTCATTTGTTTGCAAGGACCACAATGGAAACTACTGGCTCACCAGTAATTGTGTAATCCTACAAAAAGACTTCTTTTTTTTTTATTATTTTTTTTTATGCATTGTCTGATTATTTCTGACTCGCCCAGCTACCAAGCTGTGACAGAAGGACCGTATACTTGTAGCTTATACCAACGAATGCTTGAATTTTCAATTTTATAGTTTGACCCAAACCATACAAACTTCAAAAGTATCAAAGCGAATGCAACGAACTGGAATTTCCAGAGATGAAGGAAATTATTGTCTTAAGGGTACTCTCTCTTTTCCTCACGTTAATTGAACGCTAATCCGTTGAATGGTGTTTGAAAAATCATTTGTCCGTAATGAAAAAAAAAACAAAAAACTTTGTGCAACTGAGTCATAAAAGCTTGTGTCTTCAGTAAGATGAAGGCAAAACAAATCAAAATAAGAGTAAAACTAACCTGTAATTGGGGCCACCACAACAACTTGATGTGTATAAGTTTTTCTCTCTTCATATGGTGACATGTAACCTTGTGAGTTAGAGCTTCTTAGTGACAGTGACGAAGAGTGATTTTCACAGTTCGTTTTCATTTCTTGCAGAGGAATGTTATTACTATCTAAATGTTCTTGGGAAGAAGATAAGCTCACTACAGTTGATGACGGAGTATTACTCTCTTCGCTATTGGTAGAGTAAGAAATATTTTGCGTTGAACTGTGTGTTGCAGTCTCGGGAATGTATTGCGCAATGCTTGTCATAGAAGAACGTATGCTATCCGAGCTAGAAACACATCTCCCACAACGTCTTGCAAACCAATGCCGAGCTCTTCTTGGTTTATTTGTCGTCCCTTCCCTCTCTGAAGAAAAAAAGTATCAGAGTTAGATTTGATATTTTCAAAACATCTTGTGGGAAGGGAGCACACAAAAACAGACCACAGATTGAGGCAATTCATCATTACTTGGAAATCTTGCATACGCCCGCCGACCCACAGTGAAACAATGATGCGCATTGGACGAGAATCATCCAATGAAAAAGTAGCTTTCTTTATCAGAAAATTTAAAGCTGGTAGCCAAATTGGCACATGTCTATATCAAGGAAATATATGTAAGTATAAAACCCTAATTTAGTTTTTACTTTCAGTGACATAATAATTAAGTTCTCTTTTACCTACTATATTCAGCATGCACAAGGGGCATGTATAATTCGATAATAACCATGGGTCAACGCAATCTTTGTGAAACTCGTGCCGGCATGGAACGATTCTAACGTCCTGGAAAAGATATAGGAAAAATGTTAAAAGGGAATATCTCTCAATAAGTCTGATAAATTTATAGATAATGAATGACCCGTTGTTGTGTTAAACTAATGTAAGGGAATTCACCATGTAACTTGACGGTTTTTTTTTAGAAAAAGGCTCGGCAAGATTTCCTAAAAGAAACAATGGCTGAAACAGTAGATTGTCTTTGGGACAAGCGCTTTGTTTGAGTAATAGTTTAAAATATTTACAAAGTTTCCATATAGAAGCCTTAACAAGACTATGTTTATCTTTAAATGTTTTGGGACATAATTTTAATCCTGTCCAAGCAACTCAGGAAATTTTTGTAATGATTAGTGGTTTCTCTTACCTACTATAATTTATCTTTTCGGCAAGTTTTTTTATTGAAATTTTCTTGTCATAAAATATGCTATGCTTGAATTGGAAGACGGCTTTTCCCTTTCATGTTGGAAATAGATTGTGGTTCAATCTTCAAGGTTAAATTGTAAAGCTAAGGTTATCTTCTTTCTTGGGTATTGCCATAGTGTGGTACGGACTCAGACAATTCCAGGAACAGACTTGTTTTACTGGAATAAATTTTACACAAAACAAGACCCAGTTGTTAAACCAAACATGGACCATTACCTGGCCTTCTTTAAATTTTTCTAAACATATGACACACTTGGAGTTAGGTCCTTCAGACTGTACTGATAGTGTGCTCTCATTGTCACTTGTGTTGCTGCTTTCTTCTCTTGTGCTCAAGGAATCTGATGAACCACTGTGGTATTTTCTAGTTTCCATTCTTGATAAAGCATGCAGTGCCATTCGTGTAAGAGAGGACTGTGTTTCAGAAAAAAAGAATCAAAGGATGAATACTTGATGAGAGGAAAGATTTGGATTAGTTAATAAGCACAGCTGATCTACGCAGAGGCATTGATCATTCCAAATTCCAATTCGATCTGGAAACAGTGGACAAGAAGAGCCACCCAGTGGAATGTCCATTGCTAAATTATTATTTATTATTATTTGTGAAAGATATGGTCATTGATCTCTGTGACTATATGATTAATAACTGCTTTTGAGCTTCACAACCACTATCATTTGTAAATTGCATCATTTTACTGCTATCAAAACATCTAGAGCAATATGTATTTTTTTTAAAAACTCTGTACATGGTGGTACAACTGCTGATTTAACATTATTTCATAAAGAAATTGATAAAGTAGTTACTAAATTACTGAAAGTTTTGCAGAATTACTTGGAAGTTGTTGGTATACTCAGTGATCCTATTTAGCCAACCAGATTTAATAAAAACATGTATTATGACTTGTTGATGGACACAGTTATTCTCTTAGCAGTCCTATGATTGTTACACCTGACATAACCCTTTGTTGTTTGGCAAAATCCTTATGAACTGACTGTAAAATTAAATGGAAAGCACTCTTCTATTAAGCTTACCTCTTTTTGCTTTTGTCTCCATTTAATCTAACAAAGAAAGAAAAAATGTTCAAAGAAGCTAGTGGGAATAAGAATTACAGCATCAATTACTAATTATTTACAAACAGAATTTTTTAGCCTTAACTTAACATTTCTGTTAATTTAAAATCACAGAAATTTCTCCTAGAATGTTTGTTTTGAAGGAAAAATTAT